TGTGTAGGCGAGGGGTGAATAAGGAGGATGGGAGGGAAAGGGGGGAGGGGAACGTATTATCATCTATGATAATAGGTTGTCTGATATAAACGTATCTGTTCAACTTCGTTGCCTATGACATTCATGTTTTGGGTTTTCTTCCCCCATGCCCTCCCCTGAACATAAAGCTCTGCCTTTAACTCTTTGAGAACGGAGCGGGCACACTATTACGACGCGGTGGAATCAGGCGCCTGTCAGTTTTTTGAGTTTGTAGAATATATTGGTATCATAATAAAGCATGTTCATTTGCCTTGCTTTGAAAGAAAGAAGCACTCATTTATTTTGAATAGAAGTCAAGATATTTGCCATTGAAGGAGGTGAGGATCACCTGGTTTCAGCGGTAAAACGAGAGAGAAAGCGACTACCAAAGCTTGGTTGCCTTCATAGCTTGAGAGTCAACGGAATTTTAACATTTATGTTTTTTTTGTGCGGCTGATCAACGATTTTGTTTTAAGTAAAAATCCATACAGAAATATATTATTAAATGGACAATAGAGCTGTTGAGCCTAAAAAACAAAAATTGGATAAAAATTGCCAAACCGGCGGATGAATACGAGCACCTGGACAGGTTTCACCACGAAGCCTCACTTTATGCCGAATCAGCAACAGACCAAGTACATGTTGTTTTTCGTACGCAAATCAGATATAGAAATTTGCATATTTCATAGTATGCATGTCTTTGTCTAGCGTATAAAGTTTCAGGGTAAAGAAAACAGAATAATTTGTAAATCTTTATTAATAATGGAGTTACGCTTTAATTTTAAAATGGTCCAAAGCAGAACATCTCCAATCGTTGCCGAATGACCAGAACGCGCGTCCTCGATGAGTTGAGGACATGACCATGGCATGTTGCAACATTAAAGTAGCAAAGTTCTATCTGATATTTTTGGCCATTTTGAGTTACCAAGACCATAAAGTCAGAAACCAAATGGAATACCTGCGCTATCAAAATCGTAAGATAATTGAGAGTCGTAATCAAAATATTCAAAGAATTTAATCGAAAAACAAAATGTTGTGACCGTCAAAAAACTTTAACGTCAAATTTCTTTAAACTAAGTACTGAGTAGATGGAACTTTGTAATTCTAAGATAACAAAGGTCGTTTAACTTAAACAGAAACGAGAACATGGCACGACCATTCTCTTCAAGTCGAAAGGTATAGCTTACCAGTGTCTAGAGTGTAATGGAAAGTCTCTTCGCCTCAGCAGCGCCCAAAAAGACGTGAGTTGGATTACTTTGTGATGAAGTTCATTTTGTCGAGTATCTTCGCCTGTTTGCTATGTATCGTTAGAACATACTTTGGAATTGAGCCATTCGTTGTTTTTTCCAGTTTTTATTTGCAGGGCAAGAATAGTATACGTTGCATTTAAAATAGGGGAAGGGGGAGAGGGTATTTTTGATTTTTCATTTTATTTTAACAATTTATACGATACTGTATCTACTATAATTGACGTCAGCCTGGATTTAATTAATTGTGTAAACATAAATCCTGTAGATAAATAAAGTAGAATTGGACTACAGTTGATCTGCGTGCGGAAATTTGTTTTTCGGTGACATACACACATAGAAAGGTAAATAAGTAGATATAAACAAATGCTTATTTATCAATGACGGATGATGCACAAGATATAGTACTAATACAGCCTTTGTTGATCGCCTTTGTGCATCATCATCATCATCATCATCATCATCATCATCATCATCATCATCATCATCATCCTCATCATCATCAATGCCTTTCTCGTCCCGCATCAGGGTATAGGCCACGAACAAACACTTTCCACATTTCCGTATCCTGGGCCAGCCTTTTGATGTTATAACGTGTCTTCTCACTTTTCTGTACATCAGTTTCTGACTCTTTTCTAGGTTCCACGTGGCCTTCCCCTTGATCTTTTACCTTGCTGATTCCTTGTTATGCAGCGATCCAGCTTCTCTGCATGGTGCTTGTTTTCCCTTTCAGATACAATATCTGTTCTGCACCCTGATTTAAAGTTTGGGTAACCGTGTATTGCTTCTTGAGGTCACACTCAATGACCATCCACATAAATGCTGTGCCACCAACAAATGCCTGACATTACAGTGACCCTCCTTAGCTCATCAACTATACGGGCCAAAACCTGTTTTTGTGTCAATTATAGCCCTCCCCCCCCCACCCCCCTCGTCTGAACCCTCTTACCAAAAAACCCTCCGCTCAAAATAACTACAGCAACAAAAACAAACAGCCCTCTAAAATTAAAGAACTAACAAACAGACAGACAGACAAACAAACAACAATTCGCCAAAAAAACCAAACAAACAACAACCCTCCCCCCCTAACAATTAGCAACAACACCCAAACAAACAAACAGCAACAACAGCAACAACAGCAACAACAAACTATACAAATTCCCGAAATAGATGGAAATGATTTAGTCTGACAACTTTCGATTTCTGTAACATGACACCATACTATGCAGACTTCATTATCTTATTAGTCCACTTGAGAATTTCAACTTGCCTTAATTTGGAGATATTTTCAGACCTTGTTGAATCTACTGTTGCTACCAAAGTAGGCCTTTTCCGTGCTACCTCGTTGTAACTTTCAATTCAGCTGCTGTCATGAATAAGAAAGGTTTAGATGTCGTCTCAGAATTTTTTTTGTGAAAAGAGAGATGTGACCTTCTCGTGACAAGAGAATACTACGGCGAAATGATTTATTTTATCTTGTCATACAGTTGCGCTACCACCCCCTCCCCCCACCTTACTGCCCCATCCTCTTCTCCCCCTTCTCCCTCGTCTCTCCTCTCCTCCCTCCCTCTCTCTCTCTCTCCACGTCTCTCCTCCTTCCGTCTCCTCCTCCTCCTCCTCCTCCTCCTCCT